CGCTCGAATGCATCACATTATTTTCTTTTTCTTTCTCATTTTTTTTTCACATACATACATGCATACATACCTATGCTCGAAATATAAAGTTTGATTAAGGTTTGATGTTTGTACAATGAGTCTTTAAGAATCTTCCAAGTAAAAAAACAGAAATCGAAAGAGAAAAAAAAAATTCATAATTTGGCATTATCGATTTAAATAAAAGACATTGAAATCATGGCATGAAAAGATAGTAAATCAATATTGAATGACAATAGAAAAGATAAAGGAGAACTACACCGACATGCCGACTTCTATTATATGTATTATGATTATTTCTCATCGACTGATATCGGCATCACATCGTATGAAAAAGTAAAAGACAACAATAGAAGAAAAAAAAAAAAAAGAGTCGCGCCAAGTGTTGTGACAATAAGAAAGCTCATATGAATGGAAATGGAATATGAATTTGCTTGATTGCTTTTTCGCTCTCTTTTCTTTTTTCTGTTTGTTTCAAGAATGTATAACAGCTCAATATGCAAGTGAATAACGTATGAGAGATGCTTTCGGGCACATACACGACGAATTCGAAACAATAAGAAGAAAGAAGTTAAAATTGGCCGCTGCACAGCATCAACAATCATTTTCGTTCTTCAGTCTTTAAAAGATAGAGATAATAGAAAAGATGGATAAACTTGAGTATGTTGATTGGCCTACTCAATATATAGATAGAGACGAAACATACATACTTTAGTCTTTATCATACAATAAGAAGAGAGCCTTTACTCAATCAAATACTTATATAGATATAAGCTGTTGAATTTTGATTGAAAATATATACAAGCATATACACATGATTAGATTCATTGATATGAAGAAATATATGTATATATATATTTTTTTTTTTAATTAGATCGGATGGAAGACAATCATTGAAATAGAATATCAAATCATATTTGTCGATTGTTGAATAAATAGAAAAAGTTATTTGAATTTTATGTTTTCCTACAGCATTTTTTTTCCAATGAATTTTTTTTCTTCTTCTTTGTCTTTATATTTTTTTTGTGTAAAAATAGCTTGATGAAGATGAATATTTTTTTGAATTAAATTAACAGTTGAGAAAACATTAAATTTCAGGTTTATTAAGTAACGGATGATATTGTTTGCTAAATAAAGTGAGAAAGAGAAGATATGTCAACAATATACAAAATTTTGTAAACAAATCCTATTCAATAGTAGAAAGATGATCTTTCAAATCAAATGTTTTTTTTTTCTTCTATACTTTCAAATGAATGATTTTTTTCTAATAAAAAAAGAATTCTTTTTTTTTAATGATAAATACTTCTTAGAATTATTATTAATAATAGCTTTTAAGATATATTATTGAAGTTAGTTTTTATGACCTTGTGTACAAATGAACAGATTATGATTCATCAAAGAAAATCTATTGCCGACATGATTCTGTCACATTTGATTGTGATAATAGATTGATATTGACAGATAAATTATCTTTTGAAAAAAAAAAAAATGTATAATAACCTTTTTTTTTTTTCGTTTATCTTAATTATATACATTTTTTTTCAACGCTATGTAAAGGTGTAAAAAATCAAACCGTTTTTTTTTTGTAAAATGAGTATTTAGAATTTCATCGGATGATTCTTTGACATTTCTCTTATAAAATTTTGAGTTTATGATTAGAATAAATTTACGGAAATATATATGTAAATACTACAAAAATAGAGATTTATAATACTAATAAATATTGAATATGATGATTGAAAGTTTGAAACTTAAAGATTATTTTATATTGTATTAAACTTTCTTTTAAAAATTTTATGTATGATAATTATACCATACTCGCAACGTAACGTTAAAATAAAGACTCCTAACCTGATCATTGACGTACATCAATATCTCATATCTAACCAAATTATACAACCGATGAAGTATACAATAATCTATTAGTAAATTTTATTCAAGAATATATTTAAGAAACCTCAAACAGTTTGCGAATATTTTATATTTTCATATTCAATTATTCTTTATATTACAAGCCTTTTGGTTGTTAGTAATATATCATTGAGGTTTTATTCATGAAAGAAAAATCTTTAAATACATTATAACGAAAAACAAAACCTGTTTCAATTAAAATATCAGTCCATTGATTCGTGACCAATCAATACTGTATTCAATAAAAAAAAACATACTAAAAGAATAATTTATACAAGAAGTGATACAAGTGCACATTATATAATAGAGAAAGAAAAAATGATTATAGATCATTACATGTTCACCAAATAATCGAAAATGACAAGAGTCTAATAAATAGAGTGAGCACATAATCATAAAATATGTATTTTTTTTTCCTTCAAAAATAAATCCGATTCATAAGAATAAACTTCAGTTGTAGTGTTTTTTGTCGCTTGCTACTGTAATATGTTTATTGTTCGATGGTACATGTTCAGTTTTGTCTGTATCATGAAGTAATTTAAACTAATGTTTGCTTCTGAATTAAAGAGATCTGAATCTGCGTTCAATAATTCAGCAATGGCAATAATTAGCAATCTACAGTTTCATCGATCGAGAGAGTGAAGCTTCGAACGTCCTTTTGTCTGATATTATACATATATGATAAAATTATTTTAAAATTGATCATCGTCACCAAGCATTAAAAAAACATATGATTAAGGTAGAGGAACTTCGGATGTTTAGTTCAATTCATGATTCAGGTGATTATGTTTTTTCAAGTCAAGATTTAGCAAGTAAAATAACGTATCTGTTTGGTTGAATTCTGTTGATGTTTAGTAAAGTTTTATTGAAATGGAATACTGTTTTTATGCATTTCATTTTGAAGAATTTGAGAAGATGATGAGTTGTAAAATAATTTTGTTTTGTATATTATGAGACAAAAAAAAAGAAAACGTCTGGAATTCTTCTCTGTTGATAAATATTGCCACTATTCAGTTACTGAACTTACATCCAGACTTCTTTCATTCTGGCGCGGATATTAGAAGTATTATTATAAGATGTATTGATAATGTTAAACGTAATTGCACACAAAATCTTATAACAATATGTATCACTTACAGTTGATATTTTATCAATCAGATGTGATATATTAAATTATGAATATAGTTTCATTTATTTGTAATATAATGAAAATATCTTGTATTCATAGTAAGTACTAAATAAATGTTTTAAAAATGTTAAATATTTCATTAGTATTTTTTTTTAAAGTTATTGTTTTATGTTTTATTAATGAAGATATAGATAATGAGTAATATTTCTATAGAAAATTTAGTAAAAACTAATTAAAACTTACAATTTGTTCAAATTCACAACATATGATGTTCGGATATTGTGATATTATGTCATTTCAAAAGTCTACATTGAATACGAATAATAAAATAATGTCAATTATTATTTATTATTTGCACCAAAACTTTTGTTTTACTTGCACCACGACCTTATTTATCTGACTCACAAAAAAAAAATTCTTCTTGATATTGGAAGTTCATATTTTGAAAAGTCAAAATTAGTACAAAATGATTTTACGATTATTTCATAATAAAAATCAATTCAATTGGATCATATCATTATTTATGAATATCAAATCTTAGAAGCTGGTTGTTTGTGAAAAGAGCTTAGTAGTGATACTTATTCGTTTTCTACATTTATACATGCAGATATTGTAGTAGAAATGTAAATATTCAATTCTTGGAAAAAAATATGTTAAAACTATAAGCTAATTAAATGATTCTGTTCTATTGGAGTACGATATTGATAATATTAAATTCTATTATAATTGAAGTATATTAATGGTGACTCTTTATTTAATACTACGTATTACACTACAGTAAGAAAATAAACGATCGAATATGTAAATGAAATAAGCATATGTTTCAGAAAATGTCATAGCTGGCACATAAATATACAAAGTTAAAAAAAAATTTTTGAATATGATTAAATATTTTATTATAAAACTACTAAAAATAAATTCAATTCAGATTTTTACTCGTTCTATCAAAATTTTCCAATATCTTATGTTAAATGGCATGACAAGCTATGAATGGTAAAATTGTAAATTTAAAATTTGAATGAAACTATCTAAAACTAAGACTTTTCAAAATACTATCAAGTATTCCTTTATTAGCACTATTATGCAGTCGTAGTGTACACGTAAAATCTAAAGAAGCAAGATTAGCAGAGTATTGATTATATCAGTCTCCCGGTACTCATTTTAATTTTCTGTAAATTGTCAATAAAAATATCAGCACATCATGATTCTTCTAAAATTCTGAAACATATATCAAAACATACAAAATTTTGTAGAAAACTTTGTAGCATATTTAAAGTTTCAGAGAAATCCTTATGAAAAAATTTTCGTAATTTTCTCGCTATTTAGCCGCCGTAATTAGATGATTGATTGACTAGATGTTTATCTTTTAAATTTTGCAATGATAAAAAAAAAGAGTGTTATTTAACAAATAAAGACGATATTTTTGAAGTGCAGGAACTTTTTCAGTGAATGAACCTCAAATTAAATCTCTAATGTGTTGAGAAGTATTCTAAATAGAAAGCAATGTTTTCTTCGGTTTATCATATGCCACTGATTATTCATCATTTGAAGTCCATCTTGACATTGTTTTCAATCGATGATATTAGAGAAGAATTGATTTGAAATGTCTTATTATTTTCTTATTTTAATAAATAATACTTGCTAGAACAAAAGCTGTAAGCCCAATCTCTGCAGGATTAAAATGTGTAACACGATATAGGAAGTATTACTAATCACAAGGAGATTGTTTTATTCTATCTATTTTGGGACATATTTCATCAGTCTCCTTTTGCTTAATCCTTCAGAAATATACTAAACGAGTAGTTAATATATTTTAATGATTCGTTATTCATATACGGTCGTTGATCACATATTAACAACATCTGTTCGAGTCTGTGGAATGAGAAGACGAGAAGAGTGGGTGCATGTTTCTAGGCTATATACTTCAATCAACAGCCAACGAATGTCTATTGATAATCAACTTTCAAAAATGTACTATTGTCGGATATGTTCGAATAAAGAATATCATGCAATTCAATTAATTGAACCATTAGTTGATCTTATTCGTAATCCATTAACAATGTGTCCTCGTATTTCTTCTGTTCCGTCGAATCTTTATCTTACTCGTGAATTTGCTCTTCAATCAAAGCGTTTCCTTCTTTTTGCATCTTCATCATCATTTCATATCGATTCACCTTTGACAACAACTATGGCTTCATTTGCACTATGGCTTTATACATCGGGTTCACGAAAAATTCTTATTGATATTGACAGTTCATATTTTAAAAGTCGAAATGGAAATATAGCTGAAATTGGTATAACATGATGTTATGATTATTTTAAAGAAAAATCTATTCGATTTGATCGTATTATTGCTTATGAATATCAGAAATTAGGAATTCGTCGTGTTTGAGATGAACTTCCTCATGATGTTTATCCAATTTATACATTTATTAATGTTGGTGTTGAAGCAAAAATAGGGAAGTTTAATGCTTGGAACATGCTTGAATCTATAGCTAAACCTAATGATTATGTTGTTATCAAACTTGATATTGATAAACCATCATTAGAAAGTGCCTTAATGAAACAATTATTAGATGAATTATTTTTTGAAAAACATGTTTCTAATAATTCAACATCGAAAAAAGATAAACTAAAAGATTTCTACGACTTATTTACAAAACTAGGAGAGTATGGTATTCGAATGCATGGATGGCCATAAATAGTTTTGCTTGTTGGTTATATATTAAGCCAACTAATTAGTTTCATTTTTCTTAACTAAGTAAAACTTTTATTATTTTAATAATTTTAAGTACATTATTTTCTATGAAGAAAGGTAAAAATGTATAAATAGATAATAAATAATATATGTATCAAATCATTCATTACTGGCGTGATTTCATAAATTTACAATATGTGTATCTCAAGATCAGGAGCTTTCGTGGAGTTAATTTTTATATGATACATATATGTTTAGATATCTTGAAAAAATCAGCACTAGAAATCTTTGTTCACAGGAGCTATCAGTAAAAATAAATTGCGCTTGTGACATGACACAAAAAAGTGCATTCACTGTTACTTCATGCATTCTAGTTAAAAACAACTCCTAGTTAAGACAACATTTCTGAAAACTATATGTAGATAACGTCTAAAGATATAAAATCTCGATCGCAAGTTGTTTCTGACCATGCTTAGATTTCTCAAAAAAAAATCGATGTACTTTTTGCTAGCGATGTGATAGAATCGAATATACAAACGAAAAATCGCTCTTGTAACTAAGCGAGAAGTTCAAAAATCATTCCAAACGGTACGAATCCTTCTACAGAATCTCTGGATGACTGTTCGATAGAAATCTTTTTGTTCGGGACTTGATAAGATTTCTAGAAAACCAGTTTTAAGAGGAAGTATTTTAGAGTACAACTTTGCTGAGAATTTAACCTGAGATGCGATTCGTGTCGTCGAATCTATCATGAAGCTCTCGTGTTTTTTTCTATTATGGTTAGAGAAATATTAGCTAATTACATTTTAATTGATAATCAGTTGAAAGAATCAGCATTCTTACATTTGTGTATGCTGAAAGACCTTATTCAGAAAAAAAGTCCTTACGAAAAGTCAAATGAAAGATGAGTCTTTCAGTCTTTTTGGAACAAAAATACTTCTTAAAGGCGGCTGAAAATTAAGTAAATTAGAGAAAAAAATAATTGCTTTTTAGAATTATAAAAATCGTACTGTCTCGTTTTGGTTGCTTTTTCAAAATGCGATCATTTTTCAATTAATGAGCAATCAACAATCAAAATATGATATATGTATATAGATGTACGAGCAGTCTCCGATGCAGTTTCATTCGATTTCTCACTTGGACTCATTCTCATTCCAACCTCTTTTCAGTTCGATCATATTTCATCAAATTAAAAAAAGATGATAGACCTATTTTTTTTTATTCACATCAATAGCCATTTAAAGAATTTATTCTTAAATGATCGACGGTTGAGCAGAACCTTGTCGATACACCGACTTAAACCAAAAGATATGTCAATGATCATGGTTACGACACGCATGCTGAATATGAAAAGCAAATAACAAGTAACATGTAATGCACAACCAGACAGCGTTATGCCCTTGCACTTAATTTTCAAGATTTACAATTAATTATTCAACGCAGCAGAACTATAAAAACAAACTACTCAACGTTTTTCATTATATACATATTGCGTGCCTACATGTTATAAATATTAATAACGTTTGTATTTTTCTTGTTCTTCTGTATCACACGAGTTATTCTCTACTATATTGAGAATCATTATATATCAATGTAATTGATAATATCGTGATCAAATTGAGAAATAATTGACTGGTACCCATTCAGACTAAATAGGATGTAAATCATATATACAGAGCGAAGCATGAATATGGGTAAGATAAAAAATTGAAATTTCTCCGCTCCAGTTCGCTCGAATTGGCTGATTTTTTAAGTTCGTTGTAGACAATTATTTAAAGCTTTATTTCATATGGTTAACATAAACAAATATTACTACGAAGTTATATTTTTGACCTCTTTGAAAAAATTTCATTTATTATTAAGTGAGAAAAAAACATATGAAACGTTCTATGAATAATTTTCAGTTTTCTTTTTGTAACCGTAAGCTTTTGATTTAACTATTTCTAAAACTAAGCTCTATGTGCGTATCATTATGGTTACATTTATAAGGTTCAATTTGATTTCTTCTTGTTATTCTTTTAGATGGTAACTGAAAATTATCTATGAAATGCTTTGTATGTATTTTTCTTGCTTTGCAATATGTAACATTTCTTTAGGAAGGTCAAAGCTACACACTGACAGTAGTATTTGTGTTATACGAATGAAAAAAAGGACTTTGAATAAGCTTGTACCATTAAATAAACGAGCTAATCATTCAAGCGAACTGGAGCGGAGAAATGTCAAGTTTTTACCTTGGTGCACTAGTGTGGCTCAATCTATATAAAATATTGATGTTTATATTTTTGTATCAATATTGTATAAAGGTAATGTCAAAGTGTTGAATAGACACCAAAATAGTCAAATTATTATTATGAAAGTAGAAGCACAGCAAAACTATCATGTATCAGTCTGATATGAGTGATTCATTGAAACAAAAAAAGAGCAAATATTCACAATTATAAAATTTGATCAGCATCAGTTAGTAGTTGCCGTCAACATAGTTTGTAAATTATCTAATGACCTGGATCGTGATGAAAACTAACATCACTGTGTTGTCAAATTATATCAATTTTTGAAGTAATTAAACGAGAACATAATCAGAATATAGAAACATATATAAATATCTCCTTCCAATTTTCATGTTTTAATCAATAAGAATAATTATTATAGAAAAATTACTGTTTTGACATTTTTGAGTTGTTGACCTGGTAAAAGTCTTATTCATGTTTAGACATGAAATATTACTTTTATTTTTATTCTTGTGTATTTATCAACAATACGAAAATCTTAATCGATCTTTCAAAATAATTAATCAATCAAAAAACACTGATGACTTTTTTGATCTTGATTACCTTGAATGTTTTGACCTAAATTAGAAAGCTATGTTTCGATAGATATTATCTAAACTAATCATCGTTCAAATATTATTTAGTTTTGTTATTTTTTTAAAACATATTTTGCTGCTAGAAAACTAATTACTTATTTGATTGACAGATCTGTCAAAATCAAATTTTATTTTAATAAGAATAAAACTTCAATATGAGTAACAAAACAATTGAAATCCAACTTAAATCAACAATCGATTGAATTTCACTAAGCTAAATGTCAACAATAGACAAAAATATATTGAAAGTTTAGGAAATAAATACAGTATTTCATAGATGACATCTTACTATCAACTAATACAAATTGTCATACTAAGAAAATGGCTTGAGAACAATACCTAATGAAGCATGAAATACTGAATAGAATACAATATAAATGTCACACAAACATCAAACATATATATATACACATCAATAATCATTTTGTAATTTGTTCATTTTGAAGCTTTTTCACTGTTTATAAGAATGACTCTTGTTTGTAAAAATCTATAGTTAATATCAAAATTCAGTAAGATTACAAGTTTTCGAATAAGAAAAAAAAAACATTTTATACAGTAATTATTGAGGTATTGTCGCTTTCGAACAAAACGGAAAAATATCTTTTGTATTCATAATAATTACAATTGAGTCATTCAAACATTAGGCATGCTATCTTATTCATCATACATACCAAACTGAATATAAATACTCTTTGGCTCATATTCAATGACAACCATTTATAGTAATTCAGATTAGCATAATATTGATGATTTATTGTTTAAAAAATGAAAACATATTACATTGATTTATGATACGATTCAGATATGCGTATATATATGTTTATATATAAGATTGTCTTCGAATAAACCAATTGAGAAATAACCGACGGATTTTAATTGAGGTGTAGCTTCTTTGGAAAAAAGAACAGGGAAAAATATTTTGATTTTTACACGACTGAAATAATCATCTATTGATAATAGCGTAGTTTTTTTTCGCTTTACCTTGCCAGTTCTTCAATGTATACATGTTCTATACCATAGTTAGTGACACAAAATAGAAAAAAAAAAAACAAGAAACATAACAAACGAGTGACGCCAATATACACCATCGCTTATATTATTACACACACATTACTCTTTCACTGTGATTTCGTCTTTCAGTTTCTTTTATATAACAGCACAAAGAGGATCGAAAAAGAAATATACGCAAAGCATTACTGACTAGTGTGCCTATATAATCAAACCGAAAATTATTTCTCGGTAATCATATATTATGATTTAATTATCAATCCCTTTTATTTGAAAAATTATTAAGATGCCACGAAATTCAAGCGCTTCTGAATCTGGTAGGTTTTTCTTATTCTATGAAATAAAAACTCGAAATTAAAAAATTTTAGAAGCAAAATCTGTAACATCACGATCATCGGATTTATCATTATTAAATGACGAAGAATGTAAACGTATTGTTGCAGTTCTTGAACGTGATTTTCAACTTCGACAAAAAGAATATAAACGATTAGAGTAAATTATATGTTTTTATTTTTTGACATTCATTTATATAGAATACGATTTCTTGTTTTTCAGAGAATTAAAAAAAGTAATTCGACAAGAAAATGAACGTGTAGAATATTTAGCTGCTTCAAAAGAATTTAATCTTGAACGTTGTATAAGATGTTTTAAACCATTTCGATTTCTATTTAATCCAAGAAAAACTTGTTCGGAATGCAAATTATTTGTTTGTTCAGACTGTTCAACATATACATCAGAAACAAAAACATGGGCATGTAAATCATGTTTAAAATTAAAGTAAGATTTTTGACTTTATTATTATTATTTTTCTTTTTTCATAAGAAAATTTATTCATATTTGTGTTATAAGTTATTTCTTGTTGTATATTTGCGAAGAAATAATTTACCGTTGTGTGACATATTATTTGCTCAGTCAAGCAAAAAAAAAGAAATGAATTAAAGCAGTGAAAAAAGGAAAAAGTTTTTTTTTATTCTATTCTGTAAAATCAAGTCGAAGACGAAAGTAGAAAATAGATATTCAATGTATTTTTCATATTGAAAACGAAATTGATTCTATATCATAATCTTCAAGGCCAAGGATTATGAAAATATTAGATTGTTAAAGAAAGAAAGAAAAAACGTGTTTCAAGTGA